CACCTATATTTGCAAATATGTATGTAAAAAGACATCTTGGGAGTTGGAACCCAATCTAAACAGGTAATTAATGTACTACACACAGCATGAAGGTAAAAATATTTCAGCGCATGAAACAAAGTTTGTGTACATGGAAGCATCAGAAAGTACAGGTTTCAGGATCTCAGCTAACCACGTAGATTTATTTGTGTCAGTAGCAACTTGAGAGACTGCAAGTTGCTTCTGGTGTGAGAGAATTGGCCATCTGCAAGGATGTTGCCCAGGGGACACCTGGATATTTTGATGTTTTACCTTCTCTCATGTCCTTGCATGGGGAGCTGGAGCTGACAGAGGGAGCTCATCCATGCTCTCCTCACATTCGAACCTCTGACCTGTTGGGTTCCTGCCAGGTTTAACCCATTGCACCACCAGGGGCTCCTACCATGTAGATGATTGTGGAGTATTTCAGATTTTGGGATTCCATTTGAGGAATGCTCAGCCTATATTCTGCACTTGTGGTCTCTTCCAATGCTAAGATTCCATGCACTGCTGGCTTGACTCTTCAAAAGGTTTTCCAAAATAGAATTGAGCCCTACCTCCATCACAGAGGATGTTCACTGTATTTGAAGTTGACTCCCTCCTTGCTGCATACACACAGAGAAGTCCATAGAGAATAATCAACATGAAATTCTATTATGATGCAGTCTCCATTTTTAAAAGCTGCAGTGGTTGAAAGAACGACTACTGTGATTCCCTCTGAGGCATTACCAGAGTTAACTTACTTAGCTGCACAAGGCATTCACTTGAATTCAGGATGTCCAGTCAGAACAAAGCCACAAAAGGCTCTGAAATAAAGTCTGAATGGAAGGTCATGTCTGTGATCTGTTTCCTGGTACAAGGGAGCCTATTAAATTAATATGAGGAAATGAGCCATTTCAATTGCCTGGTGATATTTAGATTTGAAGTGAAAAGATTAGCAAAATAATAGTCATGTTTGGGGTCCAGGCTTAAGAGGGGAAAAGGCAGCCTTCCCATTATACAGGAGTAGCTTAAGAACTGCCTTCACCCCCTGAAGCAAATGGGCTGAAGAACAGAGGTTCTGATCTCACCATCTTTAAAGATGTAAGAGATAGCTACAAAGCTTTGAAATCCCTTCCCTGTGGAGCTGTCAAGCTCTCTCTTCCAGTCTATCCAGACTTTTATGTTCAGAGACCTGCTGTTTTGTCCAAGAGTACAATTTGTTCAGTTTCCTTATGCGTGTACTACTCTGATATTTTAATTTGTAAGCTTGAGTTGATTTTCTTTTTGAGAAAAATAGGATATAAACAGAGTAACAGCTATGTAGACACTGTATCTTTCTCTAAAGACAAACACATAGAAATAGAAAGTAACCAGTGAATGTGTATGTTTTTACCTTCAAGTCACATGCCAACTTACGGTGACCTCATCAATTTCATAGGTTTTCCTTAGGCAAGGAACAGAAGTGTGTTTGATAGTCCACTCCTCTGAAATTTAGTCCACAATATTGGCAATCTCCCATCCCAAACTAACCAGAACTGACCTTCAACAGTAGGATCTAGTGCCTTTTTTTCATCTCAGGAGCAACTTGAGAAACTGTAAGTTGCTTCTGGTGTGAGAGAATTGGTTGTCTGCAAGGATGTTGCCCAGGGGACACCTAAATGTTTTACCATCCTATGGGAGGCTTCTCTCATGTCCCCGTATGGGAAGCTGGAGTTGACAGACGGGAGCTCACCCCATCCCCCAGATTCAAACCGCCAACCTTTTGGTCAGCAGTCCTGCCAGCACAAGGGTTTAACCCACTGTGCCACCAGGGGCTCCATATGGTGTCTTTTAACCAGTGAATGATTGGCTGCACTTCTTAGTCAAAGATAACAAATTATTTATTTCACTCCTCCAGTAGTAGGGCAATGGGACATCTAGACTCTGTAAGGCAGGCATTTGCCTGTGGAGATCAAGACTGCTTTCTTTTGGTTGGTCCAACTACTTCCTCCTCTACCTTGTTCATACAGAATATTTTACTAACAGCCTTCAATTAAGAGGCTGGTACCAATAACATGCAAAAGTGCATGTGTTGACCGGTAACATAAACGTAGTCAAGACAGGGTTGTAGGATAATGTGCAACTCTTCTGTACATTCTGTGCATGTCTGTAACATGGATAATGAGTGATGTGCTTTTAATACCATCTCATCAGTGGCCTTGTTCAAAAGTTTCAAGTTTCTGGACTAGCCTTGGAAACTTTAATAACCCTTCCAAATTTTGCAGAAATGAAATTCAATAGTCTGAACACTTCATATTTGCATTAAACTGAGCCTGAAGATGTATTGTTCACTGCCCTGCTCCATGACTATATCTGATGACTTATCAGTACTAATGTCAGTGCTATTTCATGTTACTCAGAATACTAACTTGCACTGAAACTGAGATAGAAGCGCTTCTGCATCCCCTCCCAACTCTTTGTATACTTGGACCGCAGCATTCCAGACAGAAAAATACAATTTCCCCAGGGCAACAAAATCATTAGTGTAACTAAATGCTTCAGTGCTCCTTGTACCTGCTGTTCAATAAGCATCCCACTGTACTGTTCATGACTGTCAGTAAAACAGCCCTTCTGTAAAACTTCCATTATAGAAAGCAGCAGAACAGGTTTGCGGGAAAAAGAGGCATTGTCTCAATATGATTATAGAGACTGCAGAATTCTAACATTTGGGTTCAGTAAAATAAACTCCTTGTTCCACTGCCTGGCGAGAAACTTCTACAGAGGTCATAATTCCATCTCAGAGAAATTCACTTCTCTTTCCTTCCTGTCTTCAAACCCAAGTAGGACGCTTTCAAGTGGCACAGAGTCATTTTCCTGCTCAAGTCGCGCTACATGATCACATGAACCAGGCTTAATTCTGGAACATCCAGCTGTTGTATTTCCAGATATTTTATAGAAGGGAAGAACTACAATGAGGTAAGAGTTAAAAAGTAAAACGGAGATGGGAATATGTGGACTTTAGGACATTGCTGGGCCACAAATCTGAGCAGTCCTGGCAGCCATAGGCTGAATACTGCAGTTCAACATCTGGAGACCCACAATTCCCAAACCTGATGTTAACCTTAGTAGTCACATGCAATACAAGTCTTAAAAAATACTCCAGTATTGCCATACTGCATATTTGTCAGTGTCTCCACAATTATATCAAATGGCAAGTTTATGAAATCAAAGACCACCAGTATCTCCCCCTTGGTCATCCTTGGCTAGTATGCAGTCCAGGCACATCACTTTGGCTTCTTCTGTCATATTCAGAGTTTAATAGTTTAATAAAATTGAATGAGTTGGGATGATGGATTATTTAGTGACAATATTGTTATTTCTTATGTTATAAGTATTTAACATGCATATAGTAACACTAGGAGCCTGCAGTGGGTTAAACCACTGAACTTGCTGACCAAAAGAGCAAAATGAGCTCTTGCTATTAGCCCCAGCTTCTGCCAACGTAGCAGTTTGAAAACATGCAAATACGAGTAGCTCAATAGGTACCACTTTGGCAGGAAGGTAACTGCGCTCCATGCAGTCATGCCAGCCACATGACCTAGGAGGCGTCTATGGACAATGCCAGCTCTTCGTCTTAGAAATGGAGATGAGCACCCCCCCCCCAGTGTCGGACATAAGTAGACTTAATGTCAAGGGGAAACCTTTAACTTTATAGGAACATTACTAAGTAAATAAGAGTTCAATCCAATTTGCACCTGCACTTTATTATATGCAGAATGACAATAAATATCAGAAAACCACAACAACATGGAGGTACAGGTAGTGAGTGGGCATAGAGACCCCATACCCACTTTGGCACAACTGATCAGCATAGTTTATACAAACACTTTAATAATTACATAAACCATAGAAAGACAAGCAGCTAGGACTGATTTTGGGATGCTGTGGCACACTGACAGCACTATAAATGCCATGACCACCTCATCAAGCACGCAAGAATGGAGGGGGCAAGGTTCAGGCCCCATGTTTCCCGCTGTGGTGCATCCCATCAGGCACAGACAGGAACTAAGTAGTTTACTGATGTGTTTCATTGGTTCACCCAGCCAAGGAAAGGGGAGAAGGGAACAATAATGTGTCCCTGCCTCTACATAGACAAGAATGAAGGGAAGCTGTTAGCGCCGGAGGATTAAGATGAAGTGACAGCCAATTCAGAACATCATGGCACAAAAATAGTCCTGTGCAATTTATTTTGCCATTGCAGCAGCAGAAAATAAATGGAACTGATAAAAACTGTTGCCTGAGAAGACACTCCAGACAGACCAAAAAAAAAAAAAATCCTTTATGTATCATTCAGTTAGAAGAGGGTGTATTCCAGGTTTTGATAATCTGACCAAACCAGCTGACCACTTTCTCTCCAGCCCAGCCCTTTGGGAAAAAAACTGCAATGGATGGATATCTCAAGCAGTGTCAGCAAGGGCCACACAGGGAGCTTGCATCAAAAACTCAGCCTCAGCAACTGTCAATTTGAGGCAAGCAGTACTCTTATGATAAACCCCTTCTTATACTGGAAGTATCCCCAAGAGGCATTCTGTGGAGGCCAAAGTGTAGTTGTTTTTTTCTCTGAACTTGCTTCTGATGTTCCCTCTCCCCATCTGGAGTTCTGGGGAAAGAATTCCTAATACTGGCATGAAATGGCAGTGGTAATAGAAGAAACACAAAAAACACTGGTACAAATGTTGTCTCGTTTAAGCTTTGGCACAAGCACAATGTTAAGCACACCACTGTGCTTCAACATAAAGCAGAGGACAATAGTAAAAAGGCCACTACTGGCAACTGTAAAACAAAAATAATTTAAATAAATCACTACATCATGCCAAGACATGGAGGGAATGAATGAGTGAATGAATGAATAAATAAATAAATAAACAAAAATTAATAAATACCGGTTTGGTCTGTAAATATCCAACACGTTCACATTATATTCCCTGTTCCCTTACAGCTGCCCAAATTAATTTAAAAAAAAAAAAACAATTCTGAAGAATGAATAGGGAATTAATACCCCTTCTTCATTCTTGACCAAACACTAGAATGTGATGAACCCCAGAAACAAGGAAAGAAGGTGACAGAAGCAGGGCTGGGTGGCAGTTTGGAAAGGACTAAGATCTCTGCCCACCTAAACCTCCCTGTTACTCATCGAGGCCTGGTATCAAATCTGCAATACTGTCCACATAGTAGTGAGGCACCAGGTCCTTTGCCGCAGGGCTGTCGCTGGCCATGTAAGCCTGTGCCTCCTCTAGGTGCGAGACACCTGTCAGGGTCAAGACCGTATCAAGGCCACAGTTCTTGCCAAACAGGATGTCTGTCTCCAGTCGGTCACCAACCATGAGCATGCGAGATGGATCCACACCAAAGCGCTCCACAATGCATTCAAACATGTATGTGTTTGGCTTTCCAATCACTGTTGCCTTGCGCCCGGATGCTGTTTCAACAGCAGCAGTGAGGCTTCCTGTCCCTGAGAGAGAAAACAAAACGAAACAAAAAAACAAACACACATATGTAAGTCAACAGACTAATCTTCAATAAGAGACACAAACTAAGTGCAGGAAGCACATCAGTTGGATTGGAAATTCCAGCAAAGCTAGAGAGCCAATGGTGAGGAATTCTAGGAGTATCCATTTATCAACACCTGAAAGTATGAACTATTGAAATCCAGGCAGCAGCATAGCCTTCACACATACAGGGTTAGTAAAAATGAATAGGCCAATAAGAAAATTAATTTTAGACGAATGTATGTTTATTGTAACCAAACTACAGCTACGTAGCGACAGATAAACTATCAAAGTTTTGTCTCACCTTCAGAGATGTTCGATATGGGCGCCCCGTGTGACACGGCAGATGTCCAAGCGATAGTCCAGTTCATTCCACATCTGTTGCAGCACATCCGACGTAATGGCATCGAATGCAGCAACGTCTGGGAAGGTGTTCGTTGAGGTCCTAACCCTAACCCTAACCCTAACCCTATCCCAACCCTAACCCTAACCCTAACCCTTGAAATTCTCGCTGGACCGTAATTACTGACATTGTTTTAGCAAATGTCATCACACAAAACGCCTTCTCTTTGCTTGATTCCGCCATTTTGAAAACAGCGACCCCTAGCGACGCCTAGCGGCATTAACGTACATGTGTGTTGCTCAAAAAAAACTTTGATAGTTTATCTGTCGCTACGTAGCTGTGGTTTGGTTACAGTAAACATACATTCGTCTAAAATTAATTTTCTTATTGGCCTATTCATTTTGACTAACCCTGTATAATCAAGCCAAATTGCCTTGATAACTGAACTATATACTTCTTCAACAGGTTTAATACTCACTGAGGTGATAAACGTGTGTCCTGGCTTTAAGAGTTTCAGGAAAATTTCCAGAAGAATTGACAAGAAGCACAGTTAGTTTTGTCACCCTATTTATGAGTTTTTTCTGCTTAAGGGATGCATAACATAGTTACTGGAATCTGCTAGTTAATCAAGGAGGCCTGTAGTAAAACAACAGCATTAATAATACTTTTTATTCCAGTAGTTGCAGCATCTCTAGAAGCCTGAGCAAGATTAATTTATATTGAAGGGAAAGAGAAAATTTTCATCTTGGAATGCCCAGGAAAGTGTTTTTTTAATTAATTTGATGGAGTCTTCACCCCATTGTTTGAGAATGTGTCAGAACCTTCCAGAACAAGAGAGGAAAGACCAGGAAAAACCAAATATCTTGTTCTCAGGAGTCAGGGTTGGCCACAATCCAACCCAAGACACCAATCCATAGAGGCAATATTTTGTTTATTGTGGGGACTGGTGACAAAAGACTTTTTTGATCAGCTAAGGGGCATGAGCTAACTTGGACTTCATTCTGCATCCCACTTGCTAAATCCGTGTAGATCAACAAATTATTATTATTGTGCTTTCGTGACTACAATTTCATTTTGACACTCTTGAGCCTGAGTTGACCTTGGAATCAAGTTGATCAGACCCCATTAATTATGTAATTCAATACTGCTTCATTAAAAAGAAAATGTAAACAAAAAAAAATTCACATAGCATTTTGGATGGTAAGATAAAATCTTTCTATATCCCTTGCTTTCCACTTACACATGTAATGTGGCCCACATTTTTCTGATATATTGAAAAGCTGCATGACATCCTCTATCCTTTTTTGTTAATATTACTAGAAAATACTATGTGTATTCAGCTTTGAGATGATTTCCCAAGAAGTAATGGAAGGTATGTATGAGTGGCCTTAGAAATGTGAGGTTAAAAAGTCTGGAAATAAAAGCATACATTTAAAATCAACTATCAAGACTATAAAACTCTCCGATAAAAATTGCTATGGGATTATGGGAGTTGTAGCTTTACAAGGTCTTTAGCTTTTCTGAAAAAGTGTGCTGATGTCAAACTGTTATGCAGCCTTGCACTGTATCCCATGCCCTCGCCCCATGGTTACAGCTCTGTCCTTTTCCCATTCCCTGGCCCTATGGTTTACAGCCTGGCCATGTTTACACCAGCTATTGCTACTGGTGGATGTCTGCTGTTTTATTCTGAGTTTTATGTTGTTGTTACATGTTTATATGTTTTACTCAATTGTATGTTATATTGTGTTTTGTGTCATATCTTGTTCTAGGCACCTTATGAAAGCGGCCCTGAGTCCCTTCGGGGAGATGGTGGCGAGATACAAGAATAAAGTTGTTCTTGTTATTATTACTACTACTACTACTACACTAGATTACCTCTACAGTTTAGATGCACCTAGTCTTCAAGGTTCATAGAATTGTATCCATGATTGTTTGTACACTTATTATTGTAGTTTGTGTGAGTGTGTGTCTGTGTAGGTGTATGTTTTGTTGGGGAGTTTGTTTCTTACTTTATTTTGTAGTTTCTTCTAACAGCTAGCTAATTAGCTGTATAGTTTTTATTATGTTCATATGCAGCATTGAATCTTTCTATAAGCCGCACTGAGGCCCCTCCGGGTGAGCAAGGCGAAGCATAAATGAAGTAAATAAATAAATATGTAAATAAGGTGCTACAAAATCCTTTGGCATACAGTTCTGCTAGTGTGAAAGAGAATTGGAAGATTTTCTGTACTTAGCATTGAGCCATGAAAGTGGTATCTAACTACATTAATTCTACAGTCCCTCTGATGTTCCTCAACAATAGGGTCACCATAAGTTGAAGGCAGTTAACAAAACTAAATCCTCGAAAGCAGAAGTGTCTGGATTAATTTAAACTTGGTTTCAATGTACAGTTTGACTGCTGTGGAATCATGGGAACTGAAGTTTTTCCAGGTTTTAACCTTCTCTCTATGGGAGCCCCCAGTGGTGCAGTGGGTTAAACTGCTGAGCTGTTGACCGAAAGGTCGGCAGTTCCAATCCGGGGAGTAGCATGAGCTCCCACTGTTAGGTCCAGCTTCTGCCAACCGAGCAGTTCGAAAACATGCAAATGTGAGTAGATCAATAGATATCGCTTCTGCGGGAAGGTAACGGTGCTCCATGCAGTCTTGCTAGCCACATGACCTTGGAGGCGTCTATGGACAACGCCAGCTCTTTGGCTTAGAAATGGAGATGAGCACCCCCTCCCCCCAGAGTTGGACACATCTAGCCTTTGAGGTAACAAGGAGCTGCTTCAGATTGGAGACCTATTCTTCCTAATAGCTGGCTTCCCCCAGCTTTCTTTTACGACATTTATATGCCACCCTTCTCACCCTGAAGGCTTACATGGTTTATGTATATGTATGTGTGTGTGTGTGTGTGTATATATATATATATATATATATACACACACACATATACACAATGTATTATATTATTAGCATAGTACAACATCAGTACTAAATATTACTATATTGTACCATACCATTATTTTGTAATATTATTAGTAATATTACTTGTAATATAAATATATAATTATAATATTATAATATTGATGTGGCAGCAAAAAAAGCCAATGGGATTTTGGCCTCCATTAATAGGAGCATAGTGTCTAGATCTAGGGAAGTAATGCTACCGCTCTATTCTGCTTTGGTTAGACCAATTCAAGAGAGATATTGGCAAGCTGGAATGTGTCCAGAGGAGGGCGACTAAAATGATCAAGGGTCTGGAGAACAAGCCCTATGAGGAGTGGCTTAAGGAGCTGGGCATGTTTAGCCTGAAGAAGAGAAGGCTGAGAGGAGATATGATAGCCATGTATAAATATGTGAGAGGAAGCCACAGGGAGGGAGCAAGCTTGTTTTCTGCTTCCTTGGAGACTAGGACATGAAACAATGGCTTCAAACTACAAGAAAGGAGATTCCATTTGAACAAGAGGAAGAACTTCCTGAGTGTAAGAGCCGTTCAGCAGTGGAACTCTCTGCCCTGGAGTTTGGCAGAGGCTCCTTCTTTGGAAGCTTTTAAACAGAGGCTGAATGGCCATCTGTCAGGGGTGATTTGAATGTAATATTCCTGCTTCTTGGCAGGGGTTTGGACTGTATGGCCCATGAGGTCTCTTCCAACTCTTTGATTCTATGATATCATATTATTATCAGTATTATATTGCATTACATTACTGAATCACCTGCGGGCTGAGAGAGGCAGTATATACAGGCAGTAAATAATAATATTATAAATATTACATGTATATACAATATACTATATTACGTTGTATTATATTATTAGAATAGCACAGGACAAAGAGCACTCTACTTGTGCTCAGCAATACTCCCTCCTATAAGGGAACTTGGGGTGCATTCACACTGCAGAATGAGGCCCTCCAGGTGTTTTGGACTTCAACTCCCAGCATTCCTAACAGCCTCGGGCCCCATTGTTTTCCCCCTCAGCTGCATAAGAATGCTAGAATGCTGAGACTGACCAACCAGAAACCATATGCAAATTAGTAGGTAGAGATAGCTCATGCAGGGGCAAACTTGGGCCCTTAAGGTGTTTGGACTTCAACTCTCACCATTCCTAACAGCCTCAGGCCCATTCCTTTTCCCCCTCAGCTGCTTAAGAATGTCAGAATGTTGAGGCTGGCCAATCAGAAACCATATGCAAATGAGTAGGTAGAGATAGCTCGTGCAGGGGCCAACTTGGGCCCTCTCTCTAGGTGTTTTGGACTCCAACTCCCACCATTCCTAACAGCCTCAGACCCTTTCCTTTTCCCCCTCAGCCGCTTCAGAATGTCAGAACGTTGAAGCTGGCCAATCAGAAACCATATGCAAATAAGTAGGTAGAGATTGCTTATGCATGGGCAAACTTGGGCCCTCCAGGTGTTTTGGACTTCAACTCCCAGCATTCCTAACGGCCTCAGGCCCATTCCTTTCCCCCCTCAGCCGCTTAAGCGGCTGAGGGGGAAAAGGAAAGGTCCTGAGGCCGTTAGGAATGTTGGGAGTTGAAGTCCAAACCACACTTATACTCAGAAGCCCTCCCTCCCAACTCAGCAGCGGCCTCTTCCTCCCAACGAGAGGCTCCCCCTCCCTTTGGTTAGGCCAAGGGCGCTCTGCCTATGCGCAGGAGCCCTCCTTCCTCACCGGGGGTGCGCTCCCCACTGCTGAGCGGGTGCCAGGGGTCCGGGTCGGTGGCCACGAGGAGGCACTGCGGGTCGCGCAGGTAGGCGCAGGCCTGGGAGAGCTTGGCGAAGGTGAACTGGTCGTCGTAGCCCACCAGCACGGCCCGCACGGGCAGCGCCTCCCCGCCTTCCTCCGCTTCTTGGCCGGCGAGGCGGAGGCCGGCGTCGCGGAGCTCCCCGCGGAGCCCTTCCCCGCCCAAGGCGTAGACGGTGCCGGGCCCTGGCAGCGGAGGCGAGGAGGACGAGGAAGAGGCGGAATCCCCCGCCCCGCCTTGGCCCAGGAGCCGCTGCCGGAGGTAGAGCGCGGAGCAGAGCGCGGAGCTGAAGACCTGCTCGCCTCGCACGCCGCGGAAGCCCAGGCGGGAGAAGCGGCGCTCAAGCTCGGCCACGGAGCGGCGGCTGTTGTTGGAGACGAAGAGCGCGGCCTTGCCGCTCCGGCTGAGGCGCTCCAGGAGTTCCGGCGCGCCAGGGACCGCCCGCTCCCCGGCCCACAGCACGCCGTCGCAGTCGAAGAGCACCCCTTGCGCCTCGCCCAGCACCTCCCGCAGGCCCGCGCCGCTCAGCCGCCGGCAGCCCGCCATGGCTGCTGGCACACAGGCCTCCGCTCAGCCGCCGCGCCCTTCGCGCATGCGCCCCACCGCGCAGCCAATCGCAGAGCACGCCGCCCGGCACGCGCGGAGAAACAGCGGGGCCAATCCCTCCGCGCGCCTGGCACGAAATAGGTGGGGCCAAGGCTGAGCGCCCAATCGGGATGCGGGAAGGACGGTGATTGGCGGCTCGGAGAAACGACGTAAATAGTCCCCGCCCGCTAAGGAGGAAAGGAAGGTCTCTCTGTTGCCATGACAACCCGATAGAGCGAGGGGTCCTGGAATAACAACAACAACAGCAACAACTGGGTTGTTGTAGGTTTTTCCGGGCTATATGGCCACGTTCTGGAGGCAATTTTTCTCCTGACGTTTCGCCTGCATCTATGGCAAGCATCCTCAGAGGTAGTGAGGTCTGTTGGAAGTAGGAAAAATGGGTTTATATAGCTGTGGAATGACCAGGGTGAGACAAAGGACTGTCTGCTGGGGCTAGCTGTATATGTTTCAGCTGATCACTTTGATTTGCATCCAATGGCCTGGAAGAGCCTGGGGGGAATCTCTTGTTGAGAGTTGAGAGAAACATTCACAGCTAGCCCCAGGAGACAGGGGTCCTTTGTCTCACCCTGGTCATTCCACAGATATATAAACCCATTTTCCTACTTCCAACAGACCTCACTACCTCTGAGGATGCTTGCCATAGATGCAGGAGGAAACGTCAGGAGAAAAATGCCTCCAGAACATGGCTATATAGCCCGGAAAAACCTACAACAACCCGATGAGTTAAAATGTGATTACTTCCCTTTTGTAACAGTTAAAAAAGTAAAGAGTAGAGACATCAGACTGGCAACAAAGATCCGCCTAGTCAAAGCCATGGTATTCCCTGTAGTAACCTACAGATGTGAGAGCTGGACCTTAGGGAAGGCCGAGCGAAGGAAGATCGATGCTTTTGAGCTGTGGTGTTGGAGGAAAGTGCTGAGAGTGCCTTGGACTGCGAGAAGATCCAACCAGTCCATCCTCCAGGAAATAAAGCCCGACTGCTCATTGGAGGGAAGGATACTAGAGACAAAGTTGAAGTACTTTGGCCACATCATGAGACAGCAAAGCCTAGAGAAGACAATTATGCTGGGGAAAGTGGAAGGCAAAAGGAAGAGGGGCCGACCAAGGGCAAGATGGATGGATGGCATCCTCGAAGTGACTGGACTGACCTTGAAGGAGCTGGGGGTGGTGACGGCCGACAGGGAGCTCTGGCGTGGGCTGGTCCATGAGGTCACGAAGAGTCGGAGACAACTGAACGAATGAACAACAACAGCAGCAGGAGTCCTCAAACTTTTTGAACAGAGGGCCAGGTCACAGTCCTTCTAACTGTTGGAGGGCCAGAATTCCTATGCACACTGCACATATCTTATTTGTAGTGCAAAAACACTTTAAAACAATACAATAATTAACACGAAGAACAATTTTAACAAATATAAACTACTAGTATTTCAATGGGAAGTGTGGGCCTGTTTGTTGTTGTTGTTGTGTGCTTTCAAGTCATTTCAGACTTAGGTTGACCCTGAGCGAGGGCCGGGTAAATGACCTTGGAGAGCCGTATCCGGCCCCCGAGACTTTGTTTGAGGACTCCTGTTCTACAGAGTGGCTACTGAAAGACTGAAGGGTTTGAAAAAGTCGTAGCTTTTTTCATTTTCAATTTTGTCTTTCTTTTAGTAGGTTATAGAGCAGGCCTGGAGCCCCCAGTGGCATTAGTGGGTTCATAGAATCATTGAGTTGGAAGAGACCTTGTGGGCCATCGAGTCCAACCCCGTCAAGAAGCAGGAAAATCACATTCAAAGCACCCCCGACAGATGGCCATCCAACCTCTGCTTAAAAGCCTCCAAAGAAGGAGCCTCCACCACACCGGGGTGGAGAGTAATAATAAATAATAATAATAATAATACTTATTTATGCCCCGCTACCATCGCCCCAAGGGACTTGGTGGCTTACATGAGGCCGACCCCAAATGCAACAATACAAGCAATAACAATAACAATACAAGCAATTTAAAAACAACAAAACAACAAAACAATTACACCAGCATTATCAATAGGACAACACACTTTAAAATCTATGGGTAAGCCAAATATAATTAAAATTAAAAGATCAAAAAATAATGCTGGACATGGGCGAAAAAGGGATGGGGTGGTTTGTGGGAACATGCGAGCAGACCTAAAACAATATAAAGTGCTTTGGAGGACAAAGTGCTATGGGACCATTATTCTGGGAAGGCACACTGGAACAACCACGTCTTCAAGCTCCTCCTAAAGACTGCCAGAGTTGGGGCATGCCTGATGTCCTTAGGAAGTGAGTTCCAGAGTCGAGGGGCCACCACCGAAAAGGTCCTCTCTCGTCCCCACCAATTGCGCTTGCGATGCAGGTGGAAGCATGAGCAGGGCCTCTCCAGATCATCGAAGAGATTGTGTGGGTTCGTATACAGAGATGCGGTCCACTGCTGAGCAACTCTCACGGTTAGGAAGTTCTTCCTAATGTTCAGGTGGAATTTCTAGTTAAATCACTGAGCCTCTGAACTTGCTAACCGAAAAGTCGGAGGCTCGAATCCAGGGAGTGGCATGAGCTCCTGCTTTTAGCCCCAGCGCCAGCCAACCTAGCAGTTTGAAAACATACAAAAGTGAGTAGATCAATAGGCGGGAAGGTAATGGCGCTCCATGCAGTCATACCAGCCACATGGCTCTTTGGCTTAGAAATACAGATGAGCACCAACCCCCAGTCGGACACGACTGGACTTAATGTCAGGGGAAAATCTTTACCTTTACCTAGAGCAGGCCTGGGCAAGCTTGGGCCCTCCGGGTGTTTTGGACTCCAACTCCCACAATTCCTAAAAGCCTCAGGCCCTTTCTTTTTCTCCCTTAGCCGCTTAACCAGCTGAGGGGGGAAAGGAAAGGGTCTGAGGCTGTTAGGAATTGTGGGAGTTGAAGTCCAAAGCACCTGGAGGGCCCGTTTTCCCTGTTATAGAGCATCCCTTGGAGATCATTAATTATATTATAGTTCCAAATAAAATAATAATACAGGTAGGAAATACAAAATGCTATATTCTCAGAGACATTCTTGCAGATAGGCTGGCTGGCAGAAGGATAGTAACAGAGAGGCGGGCCTAAACACTGTCAGCGTATGATGTCAAAGAACTGGAGGTGTGACACATTGGGCAGCCTATCGCGTGTGGAGAAAAGGGAACCAATGTGTTTGAGAGAAGCGAGCATCGCAACAGCTACAAGCCAATGAGAAAAGAGGGCGGGGACAGAATGGAAAGGGAAAGCTAACTAGTTGATCTCAAACCAGGTTTCATTTGACCCATGCCCGATTCATAATTTTTGCCTTTTCCTGGAATACAGGTCCTACAAGCATGTTAAGCATTGCATCTATGTGAAAATATAGTTTTGATGGACATGTGATAACACCTGGGGAATGACTGAGAAAGTCATGACGAAATACCTAAAGAAGGCACCGTCGAACTGAGCCCTCCAGCTGTTTGGACTTCAACTCCCAGAATTCCTGACAATTGAACAAGCATGTTAGGGCTTCTGGGAGTTGGAGGCCCAAACAGCCGGAGGGCTGCAGTTTGAGGATGCCTGGCCTAAGGGACAAGCAGAAATGGCTGAGTTGTATTCATGTGAGGTTTATGACAAGGGGTTGCACCAGTAATCTGTCCCTTACTTTTGTGTGTGTGTAAGGAGTGACTTGAGAAACTCAAGTTGCTTCTGGTGTGAGAGAATTGGCAGTCTACAAGGACGTTGCCCAGGGAACGCCTGGATGTTTTGATGTTTTACCATGCTTGTGGGAGGCTTCTCTCATATCCCCGCATGGGGAGCTGGAGCTGACAGAGGGAGCTCATCCGTGCTCTCTCTGGATTCGAACCTCCGACCTGTCGGTCTTCAGTCTGCCGGCACAAGGGTTTAACCCATTGCCACCGGGGGTCCTTGTCCCTTACTGATGACAAGTCAGCAGGAGGTTATAAAAGGGAGATGAAAGGCTCAATCTCTCTCTTGCTGTGTGAATCTCATCGTGAATATCTCCCTTTTATTCTGTCTCTGAGAATCATTTGCAAGTACAAATCTGATTGTGGATCTGTGGATCCTGACTGTACAGCTGTAAATAGTGCAGCAGTGAAGATTAAAGCCTATTGATATTTTTGGGATGAAAAACTGAATCTGTGGAGTTACTAAACACTGAATCTGTGGAGTTTACTAAACAGTGTGTGGAGAAGATTAGATGCTGTAGTTGTACTCTGCTAACAAGCTGACTAACTAAGTTTTTGCTGTGAATGGGCTCTGCTAGGTTTTGCTTGCTCCTGTGGCACTTGCTTGTTCAGAGTGCAGCGGTTCAAGGGAGGTAGTGACTGGAAAACTATAAGTCACTTCACAAACCTATTCCATGACACCATAAGAATCCTGTGTGGTCTAAAGCAGGGGTTCTCAAATGTTTTCAACTGCAGAGCCCTTTTGAAGCAAACGTTTCTTGTGGAGCCCCAAGAAATGTTTATTATATTGTGCAGGAAAAACTAAATCAAAACACCCCCCAACAAATGGCCACCCAGCCTTTGTAATAATTGCAAGTGAAACAAATGGTAGAAGAAGAGAAACATGCACTGCAAGGTTATGTGAAAGGCAGTCAAGAACCAACATTGAGGGAAGTCAATAGTAGTAAATTTCTTAAAGTGCAAAACACAAGTGAATACCATAAAAACACAATGCAGAGCAGAAGAGAAAACTGGCAAAAGAATGCTCCCCATAGACAGTTCCTGGGAAAACTGGAGAGCCAAATTGACAAAGAAAAGCATGGATGTGGCTCACAAATGGAACTTTGAAAAAGGAGGCGGAAGGCCCGATTCTGGCAGCCCAAGAACAAACCATTCGAACAAATTCCATCAACGCCAGAATTGAAAAGTCGACGACAGATCCCAAGTGAGACTCTGCAAGGAAGCAGATGAAACAATAGATCATATCCTCAGCTGCTGCAAGAAGATCACACAGACAAACTACAACCAGAGGCATAACACCGTTGCTCAGATGATTAATTGGAACTTGTGCCACAAATACCATCTGCTGTGACGATGAACTGGTGGGGTCACAAGCCTGAAAAAGTTACAGAAAATGAACATGTCAAACTCCTCTGGGACTTCCGAATTCAGATAGACAGGGTTTTGGAGCACAATACTTATTGCTAAGGAAACACAAGAAGACTCAATACAGGATCAAACTAAAAGTCATATCTAGTCCAGCATTTTCTCCAGATGATGATCAATTGAGTATCTAAGAGGAGCCTGCAAGATATAAATGCATATTCACTATTAAATAGGCATATACTACCATGGTACTGGAGAATTAACTTCATAAGGAAAGTATTGACTTAGAACTAGATCATTGCAGTTTTGAAAGTATGTGATTCTAGCTGCAGTTGACTATAAGTTTTCCCATCCCTAAAATTAAATCTGTTTTAAATGGGTTTAACCCCAAATACTGTAGTCCAGAGTTTCTCAACCTGTGCTCCTCCAGAAGTTTTGGACTTTAACTCCCACAATTTCTAACAGCTGGTAAACTGGCTGGGATTTCTGGGAGCTGAAGTCTAAAACACCTGGAGGAACAATTTAAGAAACATTGCTCTAGCCCAGTATCTCCCGATTGTTATGATTTGTTTCTCCCACCAGCTGTCCATTGCTCCTTCCCTTGGGCAAGAAATTCCAAATCAGATAGTTCTTGAGAGTACATTTATAAGGAAACCCACTTCTCTCTAAAAGTAGAAGCATACATTTGCTGTTCTAGAGAAGGATGTGGACCAACAGTTCACTATTTATAGAGCTGCTTGTTCTGCTTCTAAACCCACTTAGCACATCTTGCAAAAGGTACAGGATATAGGTACAGGAACATTTCCTTAAATTTCCAGAAGCAAGAAACTCAAAATTGTGAGAGTATATTTCATAAGGAAATTCACATCTCTCTCTAAAAGTAGAAGCATACCCTTGCTGTTCTAGAGAAGGATGTGGGCCAACAACTATTTATAGCTTTGCTTGTTCTGCTTCTAACCCAACTTCAAAACATCTTGCAAGAGGTACAGGATATAGGTACAGGGATATTTCTGTAAATTTCCAGAAGCATGATCTACAGATTAGCTTCATTTTTCCACTCGTAGTAATGAGACTGCAGCTTGGGTTAAAGAAAAAAAGATGCAAACTCTTAAAGAAAAAAAAATCACCACCTAAGGTTGCACATAGTGAAGAGGGGTGTGATTTTTGACAACATGCTGTAATATTTTTATTGTGCTTTAAGATGCCACAGAAAACTCCACATCCATTACATTATGCAGTGTTTTGAGGACAAGAAATAAACAAATCCCTGATGCAAGAAAATACATTCTTTCTTTTAAAAATAATAATGAAGGAACATATTCCTTTTCACATTAGCCATAAATATGACCCTACCTGTAAAAAAATAATTTACCATTTATATATAAAAATAAATCAGTGATATCCCTTCAGTCATAAGAGTACCAGATATGAAGGAATTCTTAGCGCATATCTGCACTGTAAATGAAGTTTAACAGTTTCCCAGGAATCATGCAAACTGTACTTTCTTTCTAGATATTTCTATGTTTCCATTGGGATGTTATGACTGTTTGAGTGATTGTTTGCAGAATGTGTTTGCCCACCACAGAAAAAAAGAACTCATGCAGAAAGTAAGAAACATTGCTTCACATTCACAGAAATTAAAACTCTACAAGATAGCTCTCATTTGATTTCAAATCAGAACTTTCTGAACTATGAGCTCCCAGAATCTTCAAATCAGCAAGGCGCCTAGCTGCTGTAACAAAAGGATTCTGTAATTTGTAGGTCCAAAAATAACTTTTTCAGAAACTAATTGAAGGTAGATAAAACACACACAGAAATGATATGGCAAAGAACATAGTACAATATGATTGTATACTATGGCGTTTCAATGAAACCTGCATTTCAGGAAATAAAAAGGCATGGTCCCTAGCAAGAAAGTGATTGTGTGTAAATTGAATAGTAGAAATCAGGACTGCCCCACTTTAGGCCTTATTTTTGAATGTTTAGAGTCAAATAAACTTTTGCATCAAGGAAAGGCTTTTGTAATCTCGTTCCTTACAGATAATGCTGAACTGCACCATCTCTAGACAGAGTGAGAGTTGTGGCCCAACATACCCAGAGTGTATGTGACCATGTTATGGTTATTTTTGGTTTTAATTTGGCCAAATATTAAAAAATAATCAATTACTTGCCCGGAATTTTGTTGGTTCATTTGGCTTTGTATCTAGGTGCTCTTTGGCAAATTTTAGGTTAAAATGTTCCCATGAGGAGAGAGAGGAGCATACAAAGAAGATGTGTCATTCATGAGTGCAGAAAAGGCAGAGTTTACAAAATCTTTTTGGATTATAGCTTTCAGAATCCCCCTGCTGAAAAAGCTCATGATAAAAAAGTAACTTTTCCAAGCTCTGGAAAAGGGGTGGTAAGGAACGGAGCCACATGGAAAGGGAGAACTTCCTTTTGGAGATTGCAGACCTTTATACTGGCTTCTAAGCAGGAGAATGGCAGAAGTCATTTCAAACATATTGGTCTTCCAACAAGAGTTGACAGCCACGCGTGACGTACCCACCACAGTACCAGACCTTATACCTTTCTTAAAATTGGCAGACAGAACAGTGGTTTCCAGAATTCCTTCTTGGTCTCATTCATTTTCCAGAGTCTCAGATTTCATATCAGAGGTAGGTGGAGAGCTGCTCCTTTCCACATTGCATGGCTGATCAGGCTCTGTTGCTACTGAGGTGCAATCTTTGGATGTTTCTACATCTGGAGGGGGCTCTTTGCCTTCAGCTGCCTCGCTGCTTGTAAGTTCAGGAGGAAGCTTTGCAGATGACACTAAGGTGCGGCTCTGACGCTTGGCTGGCTGAGGTGGAAGTGGTGGTGGCACCGAGGGAACGCGCACAGATCCTCCTGTTGTTCTCCGAGGCAGGGCTTTGGGGATGGAGGGAGACTCTGGGGCAGGAGGCTGATTTTGAAGGACCACTGGAGGAGGAGTTCGAGGCTGGACTAGCGGTGGGGGAGGCACTGTGGGTCTTGCCGGAGCCACACGCTTTGCTGAAAAGGAAAACAATGAATTAAATCCAGGTTATGAACTATTTATGTCTGCAGGTATTACTCTTTATCTATGAGATATGTATCTTGTAGGTATTTCCCTACACCACTCTTTAGCACCATGCATGTTTCTCCCTTCTCAATATTCATCCTCAGGTGTATTTTCCAGAACTGGGTAGGGAATTCTTGGAGTTGTAGTCCAAAAAGCTATTGTACCCAATTTTGAGAAAAGCTGTCAGAGTTAGACCCCTGGTCTCAGCACAGCAAGCGTGTAGTTTCAAAAATAAACAGACTCAGTCATCACACAGCACTCTTCTTAAGTTCCAAGATAGCTTTTACTAGAAGCATCTATACACAAGCGACTACATGATGAGAATGAAAAATGGCGACTAACAAAGCATAGCAAGAAAACACACAGCAAACGAGAGATCCGCCCTTCTGTCTTATCTATGTTCTTGGCTGGTACACTCCCTAGTTTTCTCAGGGCAAAGGAATTTTTGTTATCACAGTTTCACTGTCTGGCCTGTAACTTTGTAACAATAACAATTTTACTGCATATGTGAACTGAACAATAAATGAACATGACTGAATCCATCTTTGAAAAGCAATACTAATACATTGCAATGCTAATACAAACACACTGAAAAACATACATGTGAAATGACTACAACTATCCTGACAAAAGCCATATGGGAGATTCTGGGGAATGTAAAAATATAGACTGTGGAAGTTATAGTCCATGAAGTTTAATATTTCAAAATCTGGTCTTGTTATTTGTCATTTGTCTCTCTTCTCACAAAAATGCAATGCTTGGCCCTCTCCTTTACTATCAGTGTATAATGCAAGTTCCAAGCAATACAGCAGCATTTGTAGGCAATATAAATTTAGATGCATAAAAAGCTTCTAAGCAAAGATCTTTTGGTACTAAATAGAACAAAAAATGGACAAATAGTGCAGCACTAGTATCCATCTAAGGTGCAACAATCTCAGGCTGTGGGATTTGTCTTTCCTTAGGCAGTGGTTCCCAACCTTTGGGCCTCCAGGTGTTTTGGACTTCCGCTCCCACAGTTACGAACACTTGGTAAGCTGGCTGGGATTTCTGGGAGTTGAAGTCCAAAACACATGTAGGTACAAAGGTTGGAAACCATTGTTCTAAGGCCTGCTAGGTCAGACTAAAGGTCCACATAGCTGAACATTTTGTTAATAGAAAGATTATCCAGGCAGCATGGAAAGTCCACAAGCAGGGCACAAATGCAATAGCATCCTCTTATTTTATATTTATACATGACTGATATACAGAGACATATTTCCTTCTTATACTACAGGGATTATTCAGTCATCATGACTAGTAGCCCATCCTCTATAAATGTAATATCCATATTAACTGTGAACTCCATCCCCTTTTAAAGGCGGCCATGGTGGCAAGCCATTACTACATCTTGTGCTTCCAAATCCCACAATTTAACTATATGCTATGTGATGAAGTCCTTTTCCCACCATTCAGCTTTTGTGGGCAAATCATGCACAAAACCACACAGCACATTGCAACTCATCATTTTGAGGTCAAGATAATTAAAATATTCCCCCCACCCACCCCTAAATCTTTATTTGAACATGAATAATGTCCAAAGCTGCCCAAATTGAGTTAAAGGTTTGGCCTACTAATACCCAACTCCCAGAGTCACCCAGTAATCATGGTCCTGTTGTCCATAAAGCAGTTTTCCAAGTTCTGATTATGTATACAGCCCTTGTGTACTGTTAACAAAATGCTATTATAATCTGACAAGTACAGTCGAAACATTTGCTGTTCATGCTCACTATATATACTAACATGTTTGTGATAAAACAATCTTCTGGGCAAAATGAGAAGGGTTGGAAGCAAACACATATGACCAAAAAGGGAAATGGTGAATGTGCAGATGAGCAATAACATAGAAACTCTCAAGCGGATCTCCCAAGCTGGTACTATCCAACTTCCCAAATCTTCCAGTCAAATGAATGCTGAATTGCTATTGGATTCAGACTTCGATCCTTTCTACACTGCCATATAAAATCCAAATTATCTGCTTTGAACTGGATTATATGGCAATAGATTGACTTGGAAGATGACGTGAAATAGTGAACCGTTTTAATGTATTTATAATTGTTTTAATGTATGCTAAATGTATATTATGCTTTGTTTTTATTGTTCCGCACCAAATGGTGCCTGTTGGTAGCTGTCCCGAGTCCCTCTTCGGAGGTGAGAAGGATGGGACAAAAATGCCCCTAATAAATAAATATAACCCAGTTCAAATCAGATGGTGTAGATTGTCTGCTTTAATAATCTGGATTATATGGTAGTATAGAAGGGGCCTTAGTTACATGTAGAGCAGTGCCATGGAAATCTATGGGACCTTAATTAACTGTGACTAATGTGTCCCACTTTCTTCAGTAGATCTATTCTAATAATGGCTAAGTCTAAATTCAACATATTAACCCTTTAAAAATCCTCAGAGAATAAGTATACACATGCAAGAATTGTGCTGTAAACTTTGACAAAGCCCAAAAAAACTGCCACAAATGAAAAGCAGTTATGGGTAGACAGAAGAAGACAGTAGGGGGAACCCCTCCCAAAGAATGCAGTTGTGATAATGATATGGTCCAGAACAGATAAGGCAACAAATGGTATCAACTCCAGGAAAATGGTGAATGCAGAAGCATCCATAAGAATCTGACTTACTTTTCCGTGAAGGTTCATCAGCAGGAACCGGGGTAGACAAAGGAATGGCTGTTTCAGTGAAAATCTGGGTCACCTTTTGGGCTGGGCCTGGGCTCATAACAGGGTTTTTCCTGTCAGTGGGAGGAAAGGCTTGTAAGATGATGATATTCTGAGCTGTTTATTTGTTTGTTATTGTGCTTTTCTCCCAAATGGAATTCAAAGCATTTTACAGGATAAATTAAAGCAGAGTAGCTAAAACAATATGAAGTGCAAAAGTTTTTGACACATTAAAAAGTATATTCATTTAAAAACATTTAAAAAAGGAATAGGTAAATTGTATGTTAAATATTGAATGTAATGTTTGAAATGTTTAATATCCTTTAAATTTTAATTTAATTTTAATTGTTAATGTTACTGGAATTGTGTGTGTTTTAAGGCATTTAATAATTGCCTATATGTAAGCCTCCTTGAGTCCCTTTCAGGGTAGAGAAAGGCGGGGTATAAACCGGGTAAATAAATAAAATAAATTTTATGTTACTGTGCTAGATCCTATGATACTGTTTAAAATAAAAGCACTTCCTTTACATAATATAAAATTTAAGGGTGAAATATGAACTATGCGGCTCAGGTTTCTCAACCCAAAAAGACAATTAGATGTCAATAGGAAATGAATCAACGTGTTCCGCTAGGGAAGATTGTACCCCCCTTTTATATGAAATCCTGCTCCCAGATAAACAAACACAATCCCACTTCAAAACTCAGTTCCATTAGTGCATCAGATTTATAAAGAAAATGATAGTAGATTAAAGGTTTCAGCCCCCACTACCTGTTCATAAGAGTGCTGCTTTGGATCAGATCTATGCATGCTTTCTTTGGAGTAAGAAAGAGAATGAGGTTCAGTTCCCTGTTATCTATTAATATAATTTATGTAGTTTAGTTCTTAGAATGTAAAATGCTTGGTATTTGATTTTGTCAAATGTGTTTGTTGTTTGTAAAGATCACAGCATGGCTAGATGGCACCACTTGAAGAATCGCTACTACTAAGTCTAATAATGGTGGATTTATCTCACTGTTCTAAATGAGTCATTGTGTTCTTGATCATACCTTTCCCTGGGTGATGGTGAAGCAGGTTCAGCAGGGAGGACTGAAAATGTGGGCTCGTCTGTTGTGGGGATCACACTCTGTTTGATGTCTAATGGTGGCGTAAACAGGCCAGAGACATGGAAGTCAATATCTTTTAAAAAGAACAAAAATGAATTAGATAATCTTAAGGCTAAAAACGTTTTGAGATTTTCCAGTCCTCTCTTGCAGCAAGTTTTGTTATCTATCACTAGGAGTCATGAGACAGATGAACTTTATAATTCATAGGATTCAACTCACCTAACATCAAGAGATTACCTTTTATAAGAATTCATTCAAACTGGATGGTTACATAAGTGGATGAATGCTGAATGTTTGAACATTGTTTTAGAAATGGGTAATCTTTCTACCTACCTACCTACCTACCTCTTTCAGGTCCTTTTTAGTGGTAGCTCCAACATTTTGGAGTTGAAAACAGATATAATATAAAGTTGTATGTTCTTCTCTTTTCTATGGTTTCATCTTGACTGTAGATAAGAGTCTTGATTGTTTTCCTTTACAAATGGATTCAAATTGCTGTGCCTTGACATGTACTATTTCCCCAGAAGAAACTTGCTAAATAAACTTGCAAAGGAAATTTGCTAGAGAAAGCAAAATGCACCCAAATTCCCTATTGTAGTGCATTGTTAATTCTCAAAGCACACTAGTTCTCCCAAACCTGAGGACCCCATCAGACACTGCATTGCAAACTTCATCAGATAGAGATAACACCTCAGAATGATGAGTGGTATAGTACATCAGAACTGCAGGATACTAGCTTGAGAAGGATGCAGAACAAAATTGACTTCCCATAATAATTCTAAGTACAAAAAGTCTTCCAATTCTTTCTTGAACTAGCAGATCTGAATGCAAAGGAAACTTGTAGCATCTTTTGAGACTGAGAGTTCATCTACACTGCACAATTAATCTAATCTCACACCACTTTAACTGTCATGGCTCAATGCTATGGAATCATGGGAGTTGTCATTTCTTGAGGAACGAGCACTATTTTTCAGAGAAAGTTAAAGACTACAGTTCATAGAATCATACATTCATTGAGTTGGAAGAGACCTTGTTGGCCATCCAGTCCAACCCCCTGCCAAGAATCACCCTCAACAGATGGCCACCCAGCCTCTGCTTAAAAACCTCCAGAAAAGAAGATTCCACCACACTCCCAGACAATGTTTTCCAATGTCAAACAGCTCTTACCATCAGGAAGTTCTTTCTAATGTTTAGGTGGGATCTCCTTTCCTGTAGTTTGAAGCCATTGTTCTGTGTCCTAGTCTCTAAGGCAGCAGAAAACAAGCTTGCTCCCTCCTCCCTGTGACTTTCCCTCACATATTTATACATGGCCATCCTGTCTTGTCTCAGCCTTCTCTTACGCAGGCTAAACATGCCCAACCCTTTAAGATGCTCCTCATAGGGCTTGTTCTCCAGACCCTTGATCATTTTAGTTGCCCTTCTCTGGACACATTCCAGCTTGTCATAATTCTCCATAAATTGTGGTGCCCAGAATTGGATACAGTATTCCAAGTGTGGTCTGACCAAGGCAGAATAGAGGAGTAGCATGACTTCCCTGGATCTAGACACTATTCACCTATTTATTCAGGCCAAAATCCCATTGGCTTTTTCTATGATTCCATAACACTGAACCATGGCAGTTAAGGTGATGTCAAATTGCATTAATTCTACAGAGTTGATGCATTCTGAGAGAAAGAAGTTGGTAGTAGAAACCTTTGAAGATAGATGCTAAATTTTATGAAAACGTATTATTTCACTCAATCTCAAAGGTGATACAAGATCCTTTTGCATACTTAATCAGACTAACAGCAATTTGGAAGGCGCTGAACAGACTGCACTCTGGTACCATGAGATGCAGAGCTAACCTTAAGAAATGGGGCTACAAAGTGGAGTCCACAACATGCGAGTGTGGAGAAGAGCAAACCATACACCACCTACTACAATGCAACCTGAGCCCTGCTACACGCACAATGGAGGACCTTCTCACAGCGACACCAGAGACATTCCAAGTGGCCACCTTCTGGTCAACAGACATTTAGCATAATGCCAAGTTTTTAAAACTTTGTGTTTTAAATGCATTTTAACTGTACCCTCAACTCACTTCTGACACAATAAGTAAATACCAGAATATCAGGGCTGTGTTTTTGAATTCTACCATAGCAGGAAGATAAGTTGCTCGCAGTCTTGCTAGACACTGTAAAAAATAATTCAGGCCAACAGAGAATTGGATACCTCCTGGAAAGAGTATCTCAGCATTTTGGATTAAGGGTTCCACAATGGCTACAACTTGAATGGAGGATACAGATGCCATGTCTAGCTGCACTGGGGACCTAGGAAAAAGAAGCCAACATGAATAATGTAAATGATAAAAATAGGGAATGTATCTCTACTGAAATGCATTAAAGGCCTATTTAATATGCCTCTCAATATCAGTTTGTTGAGAAAGATGATTGTGAGGGTGCTTTTATTTCTATGTCCTGCTGGTAGGGTGTTTTCCATACTGTGTTACTTGAAACATCAGGAACAAAATACTGTATTGACAAACCCCTTTGATTTGAGTCAGCATGGCGTTTTTATGTTCTTAAGAGAGTTTTATAATTTAGGAAAAACATTTGAACAGTAGGAGTCATTATGACAGACTGTGATTTCATGTATCATCCCAATTAGAATGAGTCAGATATTTGTTTGTTTCTTTTTGGCCATAACAACCCGATCAGTTTCTTTCTCTTTTTTTAATGGAAGATCTTAGTTCCTGTTGATAGGTGCTTGTTTTAACAACAGATAAAATTACGTAACAAAATTTGAAAAGCTGCAAGGCCATTCAATGCGAATCAAGGTGGCCAATTGCAACATTCACATCTGCCTCAAACAGACAAGAGTTCTTTCTCTCACCCTGAACATTTCACAGATATATAAACCTCAATTGTCTAGTTTCCAACAGATCCCATAACCTCTAAGGATGCCTGCTATAGATGTGGGTCAAACATCAGGAGAGAATGCTTCTGGAACATGGCCATACAGCCCAGAAAACTCACAGCAACCCAAAATTTGAAAAGTTTTATGTTCCTGGTTTGAAAGTGTTATTTCCTGTGGTACTTACTTTGAAAGTAGTTGTTATACTCCAGAAACGTTTTGTGTTCATCACAAACTATGTTGAATTGGTTGAGACTAGATGAAATATTAATTGAAAAACTATAGCAAAATGTGCTTCAGGATGTCCCACAAAAAAAGGTTTTGGCAGTTTAATAAACCTTTTCCATGTTTTTATGATAGAGCCAATTAGGAAACGACATTTATAACCCAGGAACCAAAATCGTGTTACATCGTATAATCATTCCTTTTACTAGACTTGATACAGTTTACTTGGGAAACGTTTTCATTTTCTTCAAGTCTATGCTAGAAGAGAGACACTGGATGAGTTGAACTTTTTCATCATTTTATTGTATTGACTTTTAGAATTTTGCAGTTTCCAAAGCCAGAATTTTCCAAAGCTAGAAATGGCTTTGGATAGCAACCTGGTGGCTTTGTAATGTTTTACATTACACCTCCCATTATCCTCAGTTAGTATGGCATATGGTCATACAGCCTGGGATTGTGGTTCTCAAAAATGTCTGGAGGGCATCAGGGTGGAAATGAAAGACCATATCACATTTTTGGAATGGCATATTTCCAGCACAGGACTTTCACCCTCCAGATGTTATTGAACAACATTTCAATCCATTATGTGTCACCATTAGCCAAGCTCTCTGGGCCTAATGGGAACTGGAGTCCACCAAAATTGTTGTGGAGTGCCACAGTTTTCTGAGCCCTACTCAAAGGAAAATAATGCATTAACTCTCATTAGAGTGAAGTAACTGATGTATGTCCACATTTCCAAAGAGTCCAGTCACTGAATATATATAAAACCCAAGTTTTTCTTCCAGTCAGCTCTGTACATTACCCTTCAGTCTGTTGGGGCCACAACAGATTAGGCCCTAGGACGATGGCAATGTTGCTAGGAGTCATTTTATTTACTTCCTGTTGTTCAGCCAGTTTGGCCAAAAAACGGATCAAGTATCTGTTAGGAAATGACAATTAGTAAAACAAGCAAAATGCTCCCTTGATATCCCCCCCCCCCCCACAGGACACTTGGGTCTATGCTAAGTATGCATGCTAAGTAGGGATATAAAAAACCCCATGGGGAAGTAGTAACTGAATAAATGTAGACTTCTCTCTTTCTCTCTTTATATATACAGGTTGAGCATTCTTATCTGGAACTCAAAAATATTCCAAAATATTAAATTGTCCATGTGGGGTGGCTAAGATAGTGACACCTTTATTTTTAAATAGTTCAGGGTACCTGTCAAGACCCAGAAGCCTCAAGAATGCCAAACACAGTATAAAAGGTGCTCCTCCTCCTCCAACACCTGCGCAGCCCTCTTCTCCCTTCTACCAGTAGTAGTAACGTTACTATCATGCTGTACTACAACACTACCATTGTTTCATGCACAAACTTAATATTGTGTGGAAAATTACCTCTAGGCTAGGTGTATAAGGTATATAAAAATATAAATGAATGTTGTGTTTAGATTTTGCTCCCATCTCCAAGATAACTCATTACGGTAAGTATGATTATGCAAATACAGGGATTCTAAAATCCACCCCCACAAAAAAACCCCAAAGGACTTCTGGTTCCAAGCATGCTGAATAAGAGATACTCAACCTTTATATGGCCTAAGCCAATGTGATTTTTAAAGAAGGCACACAATAATATAGTGCTAATATCATAACCAAGCAATAATGTCAAAATTACATCAATATTTGCAATACTGCCATACCTCATGTTGTTGTAGTTGTGCTTGGGAAGACGGCCACAAACCTCCTTGAGATATTCCAGTCGAGATTCTGGCTCTTTGAAACTGAAAATAAATTTGTTATTAATATTTCCCAGTTCTGAGAGTCTAGTCGTTTTGCATTACAGTCATTAATGCAGGTCGCTTGCTAGTTTAGTTCATATAATCTTTGCACCTAGATTAAGCCCTTGTGCCAGTAGGACTGCTAACCAAAAGGTCAGTGGTTCGAATCTGGGGAGAGGGTGAGTTCCTGTCTGTCAGCTCCAGCTTCTCATGTGGCGATATGAAAAAAAGCCTCCCACAGGATGGTAAAACAGTTGGGCGTCCCCTGGGCAACGTCCTTGCAGACAACCAATTCTTTCACACCAGAAGCAACTTGCAGTTTCTCAAGTTGCTCCTGACATGAAAAAAAACCTAAGTAGAAGAACAATGTGCAATAGATAGCCTTGGAACAATGTGCCATGACAATTGGAATGGCCTGGATTACGTGTTTAACTCTGAATTGTATTGTTTTTAAACATTCTGATTGTTTTTAATGTACTTTAAAATTCTATTTTAATATTATTTAAATGTACATTGTGTTTTAAGGCATCAAATTGTTGCCTGTATGTAAAGCTGCCTTGAGTCCCCTCTGGGGTGAGGAAGATGGGGTAGAAATGTTGTAAATTAGGGCATTGTTGTAGATTAGGGCATCATCATCCCTCCTCGCCTTCAGGAGGAGGGTGAAAACTTGGTTATGGGACCAGGCCTTTGGGCACTCTGGCAATTAAATCAGACAATCAGGCAAGTAAGACCAGCAGGATGGATGAATGGAACGAAAAACTAGATCTAGGTGTTAACAAACGCTGACCATGTAAGAGGAGAAACTGGGTTTGTATTTGGTTCTAATGATTTTATTGATTTTATGGTTATAATGCATGCATGTCAACTGTGAATTGTTGTAATTTTGTGTATGATTGTTTATGATGCAGGCATCAAATTGTGCCTTGTTTCTGTAAGCCGCCCTGAGTCCCCTTCGGGGTGAGAAGGGCGGGGTAAAAGAACCCCAAATAAATAAATAATAAATAAATAAATAAATGTTCTAAGAAAAATACCTGTCTTCTCATTCCTAATTTACCTGGCAGCTTTGAGCCAATCATCATAGAGTTCCGAGTTCATCAAGGGTTGGGGTAGTTCTCGCAGGTAACATTTCAGTGCACCTAAGATAGGAGTGAAAAGACATGAATTCAAACATGGCACAGTATTTCCAAACTTTTGGCTGAGAGAGATTGGGACATGATGCTACCTGCTTCTTAGCTATGTGGTGCCCAGAAATGATGTCTGGAAGAACTATTTTTTTTCCTATGAAGTGCTCCAGTTTCTCAAAGAGAACAAAGAGTATTATGGTTAACCTCATTAAATAACTAACAAGTTTTATTTGGAATCAGCCAAAGTTGGACAATTGGCAGGGGCAATTCATAGGACTTATGTAATGACTTACAGATGTGCCCACTCAGCCTACTTTTTAAAAACTGTCACTTTTTGGCTGAAGAATGACACCCATGACCTCTGAAACACATGGGGCATAATTTGATTACATTTTTGTCCCCTTTGGGTGTCTTTTAAAAAAAAGTAATATGAAAATCATTTCCATTTTACTTTCTGCCTTTTGAAAGATCTATTCTGGGCATAAAACTGATTGATGGACCAAAGATCCAGTGGCATTTCCCTCACACACTCTAGCAGAGGTTTCCAAACATTTCACGTTGGTGGCACATTTTTTAGACGTGTAATTTAGTGAGACAGTAATTCAACTTTACTAGCAAACTGGAGATTTAAACAATCCATTATAAGAGATATGGAGACACATGCATAAATTATAATAATGAAATGTATGGGGATGCAACATATTTCATTGTTATAAAATTGATTTATTGCTTATTTTGTTGTTGTTTATTCATTTAATTTATCCAATTCTTCGTGACCTCATGGACCAGCCCTCGCCAGAGCTTCCTGTCAACAGTCGCCACCCCCAGCTCCTTCAAGGTCAAGCCAGTCACTTCAAGGATAACATTCATCCATCTTGCCCTTGGTTGGCCCCTCTTTCTTTTTCCTTCCATCTTCCCCAGCATCATTATAGTCCGTATAAAGAGTGCAAAATGTCCTGTTGATGTTTGCTATGTGAGGTGCCACAACAAAAGCCGGAAGCTGATGCTTTGGCCAAGTGAACAACCTTAAAAATTGACAGTGTTTTTTGTACTGCTAAAATACTTGATTTCTGAACTTCAGCTTCATGGACTTCACCGGTTTAATAGGAGTTAATGAGTTAATAGGAAATTACTGGTGTCTTATGCTTTTAATGTTTTTACAGGGTTTTTGTAATGTATGTTAAATGTTTTTAATTTTGTTTTAATTTTGCTTATGTTCATTGTGGCATTGAATCATGCCAGCGTAAGCCATCTTGAGTTCCCTTGGGCTGAGAAAGGCGGCATAGGAATGCAGTAAATAAATAAATCCATAAATTATATTCTCCAAGCTTTCCCGTCTTCTTATTATGTAGCCAAAGTACTTCATCTTTGCCTCTAATATCCTTCCCTCCTGTGAGCAGTCAGGCTTTCTTTTCTGGAGTATGGACTGGTTGGAGCTTCTTGGAGTCCAAGCCACTCTCAGAATCTTCCTCCAGCACCACAGTTCAAAAGCACCTGTCTTCCGGTAGGCTGTTAGGAATTGTGGGAGTTGAAGTCCAAAACACCTGGAGGGCCAAAGTTTGCCCATGCCTGGCTTAACCTCACTAATTCCCCTCTTTCTCTTCCTTATCCAGGAGGCCTTTGTAGTTAGGATGAGGGCTGTATGAGGACAAGCGACATACACATTTTGGGCCACATTATGTGCTCTAAAAAGTTTAAAGTATCTACCTGCCACGGCATGAGGGTCTGCATAAAATTCCTCTGGAATGCTTGACCCACTGTCAAGACTATATTTGAGTCTCCTGAGTACAGATGCACCAGCTGCCAACCGGAAGAGGCCCTAGAAAACAAAAAGGACAAAACCAAAGGTGAAGCCAAAAGATTGAAAGCAAAGGGGGCACTGCGCAGCCAGTGAGTGGCGCAACTGACCTCTTCCCGCATGCCTGATGCCAGCAGCATCGTGACACAAGCTTCGATGGGGAGTGCAATCTCCCTCCCAGAAGAGTTCAGGTGAGTTTCAAGCGGCATCCCATATACCCTTGCCACACCTGGGTCTGTAGGGAATGGGGAGTCTGCGAAACGGAAGGGAGAAGTAAAAGGGTTAGGGTTAGGGTTCAGACAAAATTAATTTTTATATCACTGGTACCAAACCAGGATGCTTCACTGCTTCAGAGAACAAATAAAATGAAAGCCCACAATTCCAGAAGTTGAATGGACCATCAGGTAAATCTCACTTCAGCACGGCCAGTATGACAGTCTGAATACCTGACACATTTCCTATATCTACAGCATTTCTATATATGCAGATGCTGCCAATCATCTTGTAATGTGCACATAATATGAGCCAAATACTGGCAAACTGCAGCCAACCCAGAATAATTTGTCATCCTGTAAACACAGAACCAACATATACAGGATAGAGGAAAACCAATATACAGCTAGGGGTTTGAGTGCTGGATTATGACTCTGGAAACCAGCATTTGAATCTGCACTCAGCCACTGAAAGCCATTTGGTGACCTTGGATGAGTCACTTTATCTCAGCCACATAGGAAGGCAAAAGTAACCTCCACCCAAACAAATCTTGCCAAGAAAACAATGTGATAGGATTTTCTCAGGGTTGCCTTAAGTGGTTCTCAGCATATGGGTCCCCAGGTGTTTTGGCCTACAACTCTTAGAAATCCCAGCCAGTTTACTAGCTGTTAGGATTTCTGGGAGTTGAAGGCCAAAACATCTGGAGACCCACAGGTTGAGAACCACTGATTTAAAGGCACACAATAATAACAAACATATTGTGTACTACACAAGGAACATGCAACCTTCTATATGATGACATATAGGCACCCCAAGAAAACAACACCTACTGACTGTTGACCTGATATGTTGTTTCTTCCAATCACATTCCAAACACCAGAACTCAAGGTTTGGAAGCCGTGGACTTCCAGATTTCATGAGCTGTGACTCCCACCATCTTTTGCCATGAGTCATCCCGATGAGAGATACTAATGGAAACTTGTAACATTTGCAAGCCCATACACCCCCCAGCTTTGCCTTTGCTTATGCAACACATGGCAAGATGTTGCCCCAAAAGAATATAATTTGGTCTATACCTGGACTGTGTGTCTCCTTCAGCTCTGCTAATGTAGAATCTAGTGATCCCAGAGACTTTCGGTGATATTCCGCTTGAATTTCCAGCAACTGTCGAATAAAAGAAACTCACATAGAACAAACCCAGATACATTTTGGTTGACAATTTGTCCCAGTTCCTTTTCCCTGGAAGCCTACCAGGGTAGCAAATCACTGTTAAAATACGTTACAGGGTTTCGCTGTCTTGTTTTATTATAAACAAGCCCTTGTTTTTCAAAACCAAAGTTAATCTTCAGCACTTTGCATTTTTTTTATTTTTAGGGATTTTGGACAGTGTGTGTTGTCTGGGGCTGAAAGTTGTCTGCCAAGACCTGCTGATGTTGTTCAGCTTTGTCCCAGAGAATGGCTTATATATTCAGGAGATGTGGCATAATGGCACAAAAGATGGGGGTAGTGATATGAAAGAAATGCCTTTAGAGAAAAGCAAACTAGATATTATGGATGCTTCTAGTAAAGAAGATTGTTACTCCTGTCATCCAAAATAGTATTGCTCTCCTTAATGGTAAAATGAAAGAAGCCACTTAAACTCATGTACAAATGGACATCAGAACAATTGCATATTTCCTCATTTGTAAAGGCAATTAATGGGAGATGAAAGACTAGATTTCCTAAGATGATTTTTCTTTTTCTAGAAGTATAACTGGATTTGGATTGTAGAATATGGAGGAAATCTAAATTGAACACAAACAACCAGGCATGTTAAGTACACAATAAAGGAAAAAGAAAATTACAATGGAGAGAGCAAGCTTGTTTTCTGCTGCCCTTGAGACTAGGACACAGAACAATGGCTTCAAATCGCAGGAAAGGAGATTCCACCTGAACATTAGGAAGATCTTCCTAACTGTGAGAGCTGTTCAGCAGTGGATCTCTCTGCCCCGGAGTGTGGTGGAAGCTCTTTCTCTGGAGGTTTTTAAACAGAAGCTGAATGGCCATCTGTCAGGGGTGGTTTGAATGCGATTTTCCTGCTTCTTGGCAGGGGGTTGGACTGGATGGCCCATGAGGTCTCTTCCAACTCGACGATTCTATGAATCAGTTGTATTTCTCTTATACAAATAGTTATAATTAAATTATGAAAAGAAGGCAGAGGTGTATAACAAACAAGAATGAAATCAGGTGAAAGGTAGATATAAAGGAGTTGACTTACTTTGATAAAACACTTGGCATAGCTGTCTTCCTTGGTTGAAAAATGATACAGGTCTGCCATGTACTCATCCTAGACAAAGGATAGTCAGGAGGATTGTACTTTAGTCTCTTCATAAAGAGCCATACACAGAAACATTCCTGTTTCGCAATTGTATCACATTAAAAAGTATCAGGAATATCTCCAAGTTCTATCTATACTTCATTGACAGCACAGAAGCACTATCAATCAGAAAGTTGCATGAATACATATGTACATTTCTTCTCACACTTCCTTCCATTTCACATGTTAGTTTCTCTCTTCACCACTCTCCCCCAATTATTGTGTTTTTCCTATATGAAGATTCTTCCCCTTTCTAGAGGGGAAATCTAAACATCCGACTCCAGAGGACAGCCTTGGTTTACTCTTACCTTACTCTGTTCAACCCTCCTCTTCATCTCTTCCTCCTCCTCCTTCAGATTCTCCAGCTTCAGGGCAGCTCCTGATGCAGCTGGACCAGCACCAGCCCCTGCACTGTTACTCGAGTTCTTGGCAACTTGGTTCAGACTTCAAATTCCCAAGGAAGCACCAATGGCGAGTGTTGATTTCATGGCGAGCAGCAGCACATGAGACATAAAGATTGATTAAATGTTCGGTACAACTGGATTGTTGATAAGAAAAAGCCTGGGGATGATTGTGCACAAGCCAACTATGGGAACAATGTGACTTCCAAGTTGTATATGGTTTCAAAAGCTATCCATGTGTTCCCCTTTTAAACAATCTTTTAAAAAAGTAATAGCCTCAAATCCCATGCCCAGAAATAACAAGAGGCATAATTTTCCTTCTCCTGCCTTCTCCTACTGCTTCTTTTGGGTCAAAAGATGAATAAAGATAAACACTCAAACAACAGGGGGATTCCTGACAAGAATCAATCAGGGCCAGGTACACCTCCCAACAAAGAATTCCCCCAGACAGCAACCAGCTAGGCTTTGAAGTTGCAAGGCCATTAAATGCTAATCAAGCTGGCCAACTGCAACATTCACACTTGCCTCAAGAAGACAAGAGTTCTTTCTCCTACCCTGGACATTCTGACATTCCACAGATATATAAACTCCACTTGCCTAGTTTCCAACAGACCTCACAACCTCTGAGGATGCCTGCCACAGATGCAGGTGAAACGTCAGGAGAGAATGCTTCTGGAACATGGCCATACAGCCAGGAAAACTCACAGCAACCCAACAGAGCTTRATGTTATGCTTTTCTAAACTTTATCYCCATTATTATGGATTGMATTAGWTGTATTARGTATGAAACAAAYATTATAAACTGATTAAACRTTTAGTCTGTATGTTTGTATAGACCAARAGTGAAAATACAGAGGAAGACAAGATKGTGTCTGGTGCTGARTTTCTTGTAAAACAAGATTTTTACTTGACACCARAGCTAAACAACACGTCGGTGAAGAAAGCCACTGGAAAAACACCTGCTTTGATCAAGCATATTTCAGTTCAATTTCTATGTGGATTGAGTACTGAAAGAGTAAGATTTCCCCTGCCCCCTCTCTTACTAAACGGAACTTGGCTTACCTTGCCCTTTTTCTCTTTGGCTTTGTTTGTTTTAGAGATAAGATGACTAAAACAAAATCACAAGCTTCACCAGCTGGCCCTGGGCAAAACCATCTGTGTCAGCCCACAAGCCCACATGTAAACACACATTACGTTTCAGAATATTTATCGTTGAGATGATGTAATAGAAAAAGCCTTCTAATGGACCCTATCACTGAATATGAAGGCATTTCAAGGACTACAGTATTTTTCCTTTGTCAGAGAAAAGTTATCAGGTCTTTGTTGTTGCCTGCCTTCAAGTCCTTTCTGACTTCTGGCGGTTCTATCGTGTTTGTCATTTCTTTCCTCTGAGGCTGAGAGAACCAGTGGGTTTCCATGGCTGAATGAGGATTTGGACCCTGGTCTCCTAAATTCACTACACTATACCAGCTCTATCAGCTCCATATCTATCTGTTTTTCTGGGAGTCATCATACCAAATCCCCCCTTTACCACTCCCTGTTCTTTCTCAGTACCGGCTCTTGATGGTATTCCAGTCCAAAATGAGCTTCTGTAGATTCTTTTTGTGTTTCAGAATTATGGGCAGCTCCTCCTAGAAGACAACAGGAAGAAAGATTTAGACCCAATCCACAACTTCTTATCCTCCCCCCGTCCCAAGTCGCACCTCCTTTCGGTCAATGAAATATTACTGTCATTTTGCTGTGTTACTTAGATTCCTGCTTTTTTATTCCCATTAGTTCCCTGATCTAATTTGTGGTGGCTTCCCCCATCCCTTGAACAAATACTGTGATAGCCTTTGAACTTTAAACAAGGGAAATGCTCGAAGTATTGAACAGTATGAGCAGCTTTAATCAGGGGAGAAATAATTTATATTCCACTCTAGTGACTTAGGAGTAAATGGCTCTGGGGGAAAAAAAAACCTTCTGTTTGATATCTTGTCCATTCAGACAACTCAAAAAGTCATTTGGTAATAAAGACTTGATTAATGACATGCAACTATACATTGCCATAACTGTAAACAATTAAGTAGACAACTCCATGCCAATGTGTATGTACACAAATCTGTTAGGGCATGTAAAGAAATCAGTTAGTATGTGTTAACCGTAAAATGCAAGGCACAAATCTGATTGGTTGGGCCACACTCGGGGAGCTAGCTGAGCATGGGTGTTTTGGTTACAGTTACATTTTTAGGCTTAGAGCTGTGCATGTGCTTGCAGACAAAGAGAGACAGTTTAGAGAGTGTTCTTGCTTCATGAACTGCTGGAAGGAGTTTTTCCACATGGATATCGAAAGACAATTTTAAATCTCTCTAAAAGGACATTATGTGAGTTAAATGCAATTGTTCACATGATTGTACGTATGTTATTTTGCATTACGAAGAGTAATTTCTTTCCTAGTAAATTAGTATCCCAACAAGATACATAAAATGCAATGTCTGTAGAGGGAACAATACAGATACAGGCCATGCATCCCTTACCCAGAATTCAAAAATTCAAAATACTCTAAAATTGTCTACATAGGTGACTGAGATAGTGACACCTTTGCTTTCTGGTAGTTCAATGTATACAAACTTTTTTCATGCACAAAATTATTGAAAATGTTGTATGAATTCCCTATAGATTATGTATATGAGGTGTACATGAAACATAAATAAACTCCATGTTAAGACTTGAGTCCGATCTCAAATATCTCTTGTATGTATTTGCAAATACAGGTATTCTAAAATCAACCAATAAATAAATAAATCCTAAATTCAAAACTGTTCCCAAGAATTTCTGTTAAGGGATGATCCATCTGTACAAATGAATCAACTTGATATTTTGATTGTATCAGAATTCTGAGGTTTTCTGTATGGGCAGAGCATCTAGTTACAGGAGCCTACATTCATTTCTTAGGAAAGGTTGCACTTCTGTTATAGGTAGTATTAAGGGAGAAAAGAAAGAGGGAGTAGTCAGAACAGAAAACTAAAAAGTGTGTAGATGGGAGAGGATTGAAAGATACCTCACTCAGTTTGTTCAAAGGTTGTAATACTTCTTGTTCGATGGCCATTTCAAACTCAGCCAGTATCCTCGCTAACATGCTCTGGATAAAGCAGCTCATTTCTAAGGCCTTCCTGTGAGCAAGATACAAAGAAGGAGTTATGGTCATCAATATACCATTGAGCTAATTTCTCTCTGCTATTGCAGGAGATATGGATTGTAGTGGCAAATGGTAGGGTGACAAATCTGTTCTGGATTTTAATCTGGACCTTAATTGAATAATCACAGCTGCTGAACACATTTCAAGGATAGGGTTCTGTAACCTGGATAGTTCCTTTAAAATTCTGACTAAAATCTAGAGCGGATTCACTGCTCCGCCAGTATGAAAATCACTGAAGTGAATGCTCAATATTTGTAGATGGGGTCAAGCAAAATTCAAAACTTATATCCCCCTTTCTCCTGGTAACATTATATCCAGCTTGCCTTTATTTCTCTATACCAGGATCAGAGGTAGACAAATTGGATAGATATACTACCTTGTTTACATTGCACAATTACAACATTATGGCATCACTACAACGGCTATGGCAGCATCCTATGGAATCCCATGGTCTGTAATTTGGGGAGACACTAGTCTCCTGACTGTGAATTCAAAATATTTCTCCCCAAATCCTGCAAATTTCAGGATTTCCTGGCACGTAGTAATGGCAGTTAATCGGGAATCACACAGCAATAATTGTGTGGTGTGAAAGGGACCAGTAAAAAGATATATTGACAAATAAAGACAGATATGATTGCTCTCACTGTACTATCCAGGAACACAGAATATATGTTGCCTCCTTATGTTCTACAAGTGAACACTTTTTATATACAGGATCTTAATTCATGAAACAAAGGGATTCTTACCCAAGGCTAGATTCAGTGTCCAGTTCTTTGAAGCTTTCAGCCATGGTCATGGACAATGCCATCAAGGGCAACTTTTTCTGTAGAAAATGAGAATATTCAATTAGCAGATAAGATAATGTTATATCCCAGAGCTAGGAAAGAGACCTTACAAAAGTGACTTTGGGTAAATCCCCCAGACAACAGTTTGGATTGCAACCTACAGAATTTACCAGTCATTTTGGGATTCTTTTTTTCATGTCTGGAGCAACTTGAGAAACTGCAAGTCACTTCTGATGTGAGAGAATTGGTCGTCTGCAAAGACATTGCCCAGGGGACGTCCGGATGTTTTACCATCCTTGTGGGCGGCTTCTCTCATGTCCCTGCATGGGGAGCTAGAGCTGACAGAAGAAGTTCAACCCGCTCTCCCCAGATTCAAACCGCTGACTTGTTGGTCAGCAGTTCTGCTGGCACAGGGGTTTAACCCATTGCACTACGACTCACAGAATCTCCCAACCAGTATTTTGGATTGTACCTCACCCATCTTTTTTGAATGATCACTTGCAAAATTCCCCATCTTCACCACACTCCAATGTTGCTGAAGTACAAATGTTATATCCATGATATGTTGGAAACTATATCATTTCTCCCACCTTCACTAGCAGATACTGAAACCCCTCATAATCTATATTTTGATTGTATTAATCTATGTAAGGAAAAGGCACAAAGACTGCTACTTACCACCCGTTTGTCCATGTCTGCCCCGTATTGACCCTGGAGGCAACCCACAAGTCTCTTGTGCACATTGTGCGCTGCACGCTTGGCTGGCTCAATTCGCTGTTCAATCTATTAATGGCCATGGAGGGGAAAAAATGTTAGGTACAAGAAAACAGGAATTTATTTTACTTTTTTAACATACAGAGGAAAGTTGACCGTGGTAGAAGGGTGTTTTACACCTCCCTGTGTTGGGAAGATTCTGGTACTTGTAGTCCAGAAGAGTAACTTGCCCAAACTCTGCTCACCATTTTCTTTTTGACATAAATATTACAAGGGTCTGGAGAACAAGCCCTGTGAGGAGCTGCTTAAAGAGCTGGGCATGTTTAGCTTGCAGAAGAGAAGGCTGAGAGGAGACATGATGAGGGTCATATATATATGTGAGGGGAAGTCATAGGGAGGAAGGAGCAAGCTTTTTTGCAGCCCTGGAGACTAGGACTTGAACCAATGGCTTCAAACTACAGGAAAGGCGATTCCACCTGAACATTAGGAAGAACTTCCTGACTGTGAGAGCTATTCAGTAGTGGAACTCTCTGCCCTGAAATGTGGTGGAGGTTCCTTCTTTGGAGGCTGGATGGCCATCTGTCGGGGGCACTTGAATGCAATTTTCCTGCTTCTTGGCAGGAGGTTGGACTGGATGGTCCACAAGGTTTCTTCCAACTCTATGATTCCACTCTAGGCATTAAAGAGAAAGGAGAATAGGAAGCTGCCAAGCTAAACACTGGACAGCACTTCTGCACTTTTAATGGTTGCATAGAAGAGATTTTGCTTGCTACCTAGTTGTGTTAATTTCAGCTGGTATTGCTTGTTATCAAGTTGTATGACATGCAACACCTGCTGAAATCCCCTCTCTTACACAACCATGGAGGTAGCTTTCATTCTAGGAATCCTAGGCAGTGGGTGTTCTCAGGTGAAGTTTCAACCTTGCAGTTGCCCTGTCTCATTCTTTTAGCAGAGAGGGTGTGTAGACTGATGTCACTGTTTCCACTTGGAAGACTCCCATGTTTTCCCAATGCTTCTTTCACCATTTTCCATTTCATAAAAATCAAATCAAACTTCTTAATACTTTTTGATCAGAGCTGGCCCAACATAGTTTCCTGCCAGCAAATGTGTCCCTCACCCCCTTATCTGATTTAAGTAGCATAGTATACCAACCCAGGCAAGTTAATTGGCACCTGAGGCAGAAAATCCCACACTTATGTCTCCCTCAGTGGGAGTAAAAGAAAAAAGAAAAAAGAACAAATTGCATAATAATTCATATTCTCCTTTTCCATCACGGCCTATACCTGCTGCCAGGGGGAACCATCTCTCTGTGTCTTATGAAGAGTTGGTGCTGTTTTTATTATGATTGTAAGGGGGTATTCTTCAGAAATATCACCTAAGCTGAGTATATGCACGGAACAAATCCCTACAGAAATAAAAACTGAAACTTTCTAAGGACTCACCATGTGGCATGTGAAAATCGAGATTAGCAAATTGTGGATTGCTGTGAGTTTTCCAGGCTGTAGTGCCATGTTCCAGAAGTATTCTCTACTGACATTTCAACTACATCTATGGCAGGCATCCTCAGAGGTTGTGAGGTCTGTTGGAAACTAGGCAAGTGGGGTTTATATATCTCTGGAATGTCCAGAGTGGGAGAAAAAAAAAACAGATATATAAACCCCACTTGCACCGAAAAACTCACAGCAACCCAGTGATTCCGGCCATGAAACCCTTCAACAATACATTTAGAAAATGTTGTTTGTTGTCATGTGCCTTCAAGGCATTTTTTTAATTATGGTAACTCTAATGTGAATCCATCACAGGAGGTTTTTTCTTTTTCTTTTGAGGGACTTTTAAGAAATATAACCCATTTTAATTTTATTTTATGGATTGTATTGCCTTAAATTACAAAAAATAGCACAAGGGCAGTTTTTGTGATACAGTATTTGGGGAAGCTGGCATGGGGATATTGAAGCAACCCTGGTTCTCTAAAGCTTGTTTCTTGAGATTTCCCAGGATTGCTCCTCCCAGTTACAATAAAGCCTGTTGTTCCATAAAAGACATGTTCCATTACTATATTACTCTGTCCTACATTGTCCTATGACTCAGACATAAAGAAAAAATACATACACAAAGACAAGATACTCTTTCCTTCCAGGTCTGCAGGTACAGGTAAGCACATGCCCACAGATCAAACTATGCCTCACCTGTAGCAAGTCTTCAGTCAAGTATTCAGCAGTTTCTTGGGCTCTAAGGAAAAAAAGAGGAAAAGGCAGAGAAAAAGAGAAGTCAGACCAACAGTATATATTTGCATGATTCTTTCTAACATTTCATTTGTAGCTACTTAATATGAGGAAGTCCAAATGAATTTTGATCTTCCCACCCTCATTACATGTATTCATAAGACTGCAGGACAATCTCGCCTCTAGATACTGACTCAGTTTTTATTAGCAATTCAGTCAATCCCTGACATTTTCTTGGATTAGGTGCACAGGATTCCTGTGAAAGTGAAAAACAACAACAGTGAATTGCTACCTTTTTTAACTCAAGAGAACACCTCTCCAGGAATTTCTAGGTTCTCCAGCATAACTTTATGGCCAGTTTTCACTGTAAGCTGAAGAAAAAATTGCATTGGAGAACCTAGAGTTCTTTAAAGAAGTGTTCTTTCTAGAAACATCTAGATCAGTGGTTCTCTACCTGTGTGTCCCGAGATGTTTTGGCCTTCAACTCCCAGAAATCCTAACAGCTGGTAACCTGGCTGGGATTTCTGGGAGTTGTATTATTATTATTTGCTTTATTTATATACCGCTTTTCTCAGCCCTCAGGCGACTCAAAGCGGTGAAGGCCAAAACACCTGGGGACTCACAGGTTGAGAGCCACTGATCTAGGTCTTCCAGTATGACTGGAGGAAGTTGACTATAGAGTCATACTGGCGATGAATTTATGATTTATTCTGACGAACTGACCTTTTGTAAGTTGTATGATTGTATTTTAATGTATTTTTGTACTATTGTATTATGATGTTTACTGTGGTTTATCTTATTGTATTTTAATCCTATGCTGTTAGCCGGCCTGAGTCCCTCTTCGGAGGTTGAGAAGACCGGGTTATAAAAGCTCAAAATAAATAAATAAATACTGGTGATCCTAAAGATTCCTAGAAAGAACAATAAATCCAAGAAGTCAAAATTGCAAATACAGAGTGACGTCTATACTAAGACAGCTGCTTCTTGTATGTTTGAATTTGGCAAGCTTGCTCTGATATATGTAGTTTCCCTTTGCAGAAAATATGGTTTAGGTGATAAAAAAGCATACATGTTGAGGGAAGCATACATGTTGAGTCTCCAATTTTACCCTAGGAGCATCTTGAAAAAGATTGACCCACGCTCATATAGTGAGAAGATCACAGACCTCTCATACTCCAGGAAATAATGCCCAACTGCTCACTGGACGGAAAAATATTATAGGCAAAGATGAAGTACTTTGGACACATAATGTGAAGACATGAAAGCTTGGAGAAGATAATGATGATGGGGAAAATAGAAGGAAAAAGGAAGAGGGGCCGACCAAGGGCAAGATGGATGGATGTTATCCTTGAAGTGACTGGCTTGACCTTGAAGGAGCTGGGGGTGGTGACAGGAGCTTGGGCTGGTCCATGAGGTCACAAAGATTCAGAACCGACTGCACACAACAAAACATATCATAAGCTTCATGTTTATATACAGATTTATACCTAATGCATTACTTTCCAAATCCAATATTTTGTACCTAGATATTATTTTACTTGCTCTTTCCAAGAAAACTCTGAGATTAATGTCACCACAAGACGTGAAGGTACACAGGAACAAGAAATATATAGTCGAGAAATCATCAGCAGACTTGGAAAGGCAGCTCTGAAGGCATTAGATAAGCTCCTCAGGTGTTACAGATATATGATTCAGTCTCAAAGTAGGATCATTCATACTATCGTATTTCTGTCCATCACTATGAAAGACTGACAACAAGGAAAGCTGTCAGGAAGAGAATCAGTATGAAATGTGATGCTAGAGAGGCTATGTATTGAGGGCATATCATGGGAAGATATGATTCATTGGTAAAGACAATGCTGGGAAAAGTTGAAGGCAGTGGGAGAAGAAGATAACTATGTCTGAGATAGATTGCCTCTATCCAAGAAGACATGGCTATGAGTTTGAAATACTTGAACCAAGTTGCTAAGTATAGGACATCTTGAGTCATAAGTCAAAGCTCACTGCATATAGCAAGACCAAGATTGGAAATTAGAAGTATTATTTTTGGATTACAACAGGCCATGCACTCTTGGGATTTTGGGAGCTACGATTCCAGAACAAGATATTAAAAGCTCCGATATAGAAAGGCTTGGTGTTATGGATTGCACAACAAAATGTGCACACATATTATGTTATAGCTAGCTTCCTCATAAAAAGGAGGCTACTTCCTGCTAGAACATTGTTACTGTTATCTATTTAGTCCTATATAAAGATGAAAGAACATGGCAGATCATTGTTTAGTTAACTGTATCCTTATGACATCAACAATAATCCCAGGCAAAATTTGACAACATTTGGCTCAACCTCCTTCCTGAAAATTATGCTTTTACAACACAATGGAAGCTTAGATATAATCAGAATGAAACTTCAGAGGTGTCAATCCAGAGACTCTGACACCCTGAACTGTGGACATCTAGATCAGTGGTTCTCAATCTTCCTAATGTCACGATGCTTAATACAATTCCTCCTGTTGTGGTGACCTCCCAAACATAAAATTATGTTTGTTGCTACTTCATAGCTGTAATTTTGCAACTGTTATGAATCACAATGCATATATCTGATGTGCAGGATATATTTCATTCACTGGATCAAATTTGGCACAAATATCCGATGTGCTCAAATTTGAATACTGGTGGGGTTGGGATTGATTTTGTCATTTGGGAGTTGTAGTTGCTTTGATTTACTTAGAATCAAAGAACATTTTGAACCCCACCAATGGTAGAATTGGGTCAAACTTCCCACACAGAACCCCCATGCATTGAAATGACTTTTGGCACGAACCTCGCTTCAGCCTCGCACACTCTCCCTCACCCACATATGCGCACCACACTGGTATGCGCTGAGCACGCCTGCCATCCCCTCCCTGCTTGGCATGTCAGAAACAGCTCTCCCCTTGGCTGAGAGGCTGGCCAGTCACTGTGGAGGAGGGCGTTTGGTGGGAGGATTTGCCTACCAAAAAAGAGAAGGACAAGCCAAGAGATCTTCGGCCTTCTCTGCCAAAGGGGTTCCTAAGACCATCAGAAATATATGTTTTTGATGGTCTTTGGCGACCTCTCTGAAACCCCCTCATGACTCCCCCCCCCCAGGGGTCCCAACCCCCAGGTTGAGAAATGCTGATCTAGAGGAGCAGTTCACAGTTAGGTAGGTGATGAACCCACTTTTGATTTTATTCTGAAATTTAAGGAATTCGTCCATAGTACTCATCCTATTTTGGCAATAGGACTAAGTACTTAGCATAGTTCCTCTATAGTTTACATTGAAACTCAGGCTAGGATCACTATGTTACTGATACGTATGTCACTAGCTGCTGGGGTCTGACCACTAATAAAATATTGTTTTCCTCCAGTAAACCGGACACAAAATTGCAATGAATTTGTCATATTATTAGAACACATTGTGTATTTTCTGAGTGAATATCCGGTTAAGTTCTGACCACTCCAGTGTCATTAGTACCACTCTTACATCTATTATATGGATTGTGGGTTTGCACATGACTTGTATTGCAACTTCTCAGAGTGCTGAACATATCACTCTTCAATGCTGCTGAAAAATGCAGAAGTTCTGCTCTTATCATCACCTTGCTACCCGCAGCTCTCCAAAAGTGAAGGAAATGGCGAAGAATGGCCAAAAATGAAACCAGAAATGGCATTATGTTGGTTTTTTCCCCCTACTGTGATCCATTCCCCCCCCAATACACACACTTAACAATGCAAATTTTAAGAGCTTTCTTGTGAAAGCTTTCTCTGCTTAAAAATATCACAATTGCAGAACCCTACGGCAAGCATCCTCAGAGGTTGTGAGGTTAATTACTATTTTCTCTAAAGTATCGTGGAAGACTATATGTGCAAATGCTTTTCTATTTTGGCACCTCTTCTCAAGGAAAAGCTCCTTTTGCTCTCCCCCTCCACAGTTGCCCTTATGAAGACTTGAAAAGAGCTTGGAAAAAATACTTTTGAAACTTCCCAACATGGGGGGATTCTGGGAGTTGTGTTTCCCAAAAATAACTTTTCCAAGCTCTGTATTTAGAACTTATTTGGAGCCACAGAGTATAGAAAGAGCTTTGCTTATCTGTTGACTTCTCTGCTTTTTGTTGACTCTGCTGGAAATATAATTATTTGATTTAGAACTGAATTAAAATTAAATGACCATGAAATATTCTGGGAACTGTTATATAGGAGGTAGAACTATTGTTGTTTTTTCTTTCAGTTGCTTCTGACTCTTCATGACCTCATAGACCAGCCCACGCCAGAGTTCCCTCTCAGGCGTGGCCACCCCCAGCTCCTTCAAGATCAAGCCAGTCACTTCAAGGATAACATCCATCCATCTTGCCCTTGGTCGGCCCCTCTTCCTTTTTCCTTCCATTTCCCCCAGCATCATTGTCTTCTCCAAGCTTTCCTGTCTTCTCATTATGTGGCCAAAGGACTTCATCTTCACCTCTAATATCCTTCCCTCCAGTGAGTAGTCAGGCAGTATTTCCTGGAGTATGGACTGGTTAGATCTTCTCACGGTCCAAGGCACTCTCAGAATTTTCCTCCAACACCACAGTTCAAAAGCAACTATCTTCCTTCGCTCAGCCTTCCTTACGGTCCAGCTCTCGCATCCTTAGGTTACTACGGGGAATCTTCGTTGCCAGTGTGAACTATAAAACAATGCTATCTGGAAGTCATCATGACCACATTGATAAGTGTACTCTTAAGAAGCCATATTTTACTTTTTTAACTCACACCCAACTTTAGATATATTATTTTAAATGTATTGCTACACATACTACGGAGACAGCAAGTGGGGTAAAATCATCAAAAAGGGGAAGGAGAGGAATCTGGTTCTCCACCATAAGCTCAGGGAAAAGCAAACAACAGCCTCTCCTAGAATATTTTCTCCTTTCATAGCTTCAGCCATCTTGACCACATTCCAGTAATGGTTACCTGTGTGTGTCCTAGATTTCATCAGTGAAATATTGGAATG